CCAGAGCCCCCCCCCCCCCACCCTCTGTCTGTGTCTGCTCACCATCTGCTGCTTTAGTATTCACACCCCATCCTGACCCAGCGCGAGGCGGAACCTACAGAGCAGCCTTCCTTTTCTTAAAAAATAAAATAAAAAAGATTTTGTGCTTCCACAAATGAACTACTTTAATAACTAGTAAGTTAAGAAAGTATGTGTTTTATTCTTTGGAGAATCCCGTTATAATAAATAAATAAGATTTAAAACTGTATATTTTATATAATAGTCTATATTAAATTATTGTATTCTTGGTCACAAGTGGGAGAAAGTCAAAAATCGTTCACTTTACAATAAAGTAGCATAACTCTGATTATGATTCTGGGGGTCGGGGTTGTGAAATGTACTAGACATTTCTGAGTGTTTCACTAGATTTTCCCCCAGTGATAAATGTATCTGATGCGCGATTTTTTTTATTGAACTATTTAAGTGCTACAAACAAAATGGCATCAAGATACACGATTATGTCACAAAGAATGTCCACTACGTTAGAGACTAATATTCAAATAAAATGTAAAATAAAATAAATCTAAATATAGCCAAACAGCTATTTTGAATTTTTTAAAATCATAATTAAACATTTCATTTTGACTGCAATCAGGAAAGGTTAAAAAATGCATGTGGTAGACACCATCGCAGTATTAGTCAGTTTTTTTAAAAGTCCATATATATATATATATCCAAAATCCATATACTGTTTTTCCACACTAATCACAACTAACGTGTCTGAGCCTCCTGTGATCTTTTTATGACAAGTTTGCTTTTTTATAAAGCTTTGACACAAACATGTAAACCGGAATTAAACAGCTACCAACTTAGCATACTTTAAACTGTAATGAGAGTTGTATGATCTATAGACTTTAGCACACAAGAATAGTTGCAACTGGAGTGATTACCTCTCGTCGCCCGTTCTGCACGCGACTGGGTCCGGTGGGGTAAACGAGGGTCTGACCCTGTGAGCTGCAGGACGGGGTGGTCTGCGTTTGACTCACGCTGCTGAAGTCACTCATGCTCGACGTGTCGCTGAAATTGTCCCTCTGATCGTCCACTCGTCCCCGAGGGTTTCTCCTGGCAGAGCTGGGGCTGTACGACTCAAAATTCAAGGTCTTGTTCTCGAAAGCTCCTTCGATGTTGCAGAACATCCCTCCGAACTTCACCCGGGGTTTAGGACTGTCGGTGCCCAGTCTGGACAGCAGGGAACCCTGGTCATCCTCCTGGGGAAGGAGTCTTCTCTCAGCCATGGCTCACAGGTGAAATGGGAAGCCTGTTTGAGGAATCTTTGAGCTGGTATTCCAGAGACACACTTCCACTGAGAGAGAGAGACAGGTGCTGTTATAGGAGCTGTCCAGAGAGGCGTGGTGCTGAAATCCTCCACTCACTGGATTAGCAAAGACACGAGCTCCCTCGAGATTAAGGTAAATCGATTGTTTTACAAACAGTCCGATCAGAGAGAATCAATACTAAGTCCTGTTTCTGAATCTGACTCTTTAGATAATCCAATTCACAAAAGAGAAAGCATGAGAGGAGCAGAACAGACAAGTTTCCTCTACTTTTAATGGGGGGTTGGCTTGAAAATCAAGAGTCAACAAGTCTCAAGGAAGCAATTCATATGAATAAGGGAAATCTATCTATCTATCTTAGACTTTTGTAACACAAATATTTAAATATTTTGATTATTTTAGCATTTGTACAAATATAAATTAATATGAGGTCATGAAAACTGCATGTACTGTGATATAAAAGTATAAGTGATAGAAAAATGTCTTGCCATAAATTGTGACATTATCTTGACATACTGACTATGCATTTAAAATAATACTAATAAATTGTTATATAGGTTACAGAGCAGTCTTTATTTATTAGTGCTGCATGAAAATCATATTCACAATTTCAGCACCTTATATTTTAGGAAACCATATTGCATGCATGATTTTCAAACAGCATTAATACTAATACTACTACTACTAATAATAATTATAATAATAAAAGGAAACTGCTCTAAAACCTATATAAAATGTATATTAAATGTAAACATATGTTATTTTAAATGCAAGGTCAGTAAATCAAGATAATGACAATTTATGAAATCACAAGGTTGGTTCACGTTTACATTAATTCAACATCAAAACATTTGTTGAAAATGGTTTAAAAGTTGGTCAAAAACATGCAGTGTCATTCACACAAACACTAAACCCCATCATGATGACACACGACACTGAAATAATGCAATAAACATTAATTTAACAACATTAGATATAAGATTAAACCCTAATGTACACAACTGATAAGAAAAAACTAAGAAGAAACAGTTATTTCAAAGAAAAAAACAAAATATGATGTGTCATACAAGGAATTCTGGGAACATCAATTTACGTTTTTTCACTAAATTATATAATGACTTTTTCTTTTTCACTTCCAAAGACCTGTAATTTTAACAGTATTTTACTGTAAAATTACATTAAATGTAATTACAGTTATTCACCGTATATAGTATGGAAACTTACTGATAACCAATTAACAGGTTTTTACTGTAGCATTTTCACAGTCTTTTACTGTTAAAATCACAATCATTTTTTTACAGTGCATAAGTTCCCCTCAAATATCATTGATCACTGCTTGTCTACTGTTTATAGCATAATGCAGATAGAGGGTATAATGCAAAACTATTGTTATGATAAGCAATGCCTTAAATATATATATATTAATCTAATCCATCAGTGATTATAGGTTGTACTAGGAAAAAGTATTGCAATTTCATGCTAAACAGACAGATGCTAAATAGACCAAGTGCTTGCAGATGTCGTTTACAGTGTGTCTGGTCTCATCTGTGCATGTGGAGATCTGGGAAAGTCCATCTGGAGGCTTGAAGATGTGCCCAACGGACAGGACTCCTGCCCCATATGCTGAATGCCTCTGGGAGTGAATGCGTTAAAACACTTTACAGCCGGAATGGATCATATAAAAGCACAATAGCTGCAGTCTAACAATAGCCTGAAGAAAGAGGGCTTGCATTTCATCTAATATAACAGATACATGATTCATTTCCATTCATACCTGACCAGAGAGACGATCTCACCACTTCTTACACGCATGGTATCTAAATCGATATATAAAATATCGTCAACTACTGTGCAATGAAACTGTGAAAACAGACACAATCAATCATACATTCATAACCAGTTTTAGTAGGAGAGTGCGTGTGAATAAACTAAACATGCAGTTTATTTCCATATCAAATGCTCTTTTTAAATTCACATCATGTAGCAAAAATGGGTTTTCCTGCATGTTTTAAAGTTAAGCAGAACATTCAAAGGCAGTGATCGTAAAATACATCTATTTTCATTTCCTTATTTCTGAAAACACAAAGGACTCCTGGATATCTGTGAGCTGCAGCCCATATTCCGGAGCCTTCTGCTTCCTGGGTTTCTCTTTGATTGTAAGGCTGTGGCATTTCTTAGTTGCAAGATGTAACAGAGTGAGATGGAAGAAGCAGCCGGAGGCGGAAAACCTAGATTTTACCACTGTCTCCTCTCCTCTTTTACTCTCTCTCTCGTCCATGCCAGAGCTGAATTTCACCAGACAGGAAAGTATATGAGCTCAGCAACATGGCAGGTTCATAACATGATGAATTTCTATTAGTTTAGCCTCTTAAAAAACACTCAGCTCACTATTGCTTTAAAACTTCTTTAGTAACCTCTTAATATGTACTGCTAGACGCTAAAATATTTCTCTAGAAATTCTGACAACTCGGACTTTACAAAATAGTGTTGCAAATTTGTCAAAAACCCTTATAATTGTACATAAACTGCTCTGTAGCGCCCTCTACTGACAGAACTATTGCTGACATTAAAGACCATCTGAGTCCTTTTAAAATAAAACCTCTTGCACAAACAGATAAACTAAATTTACATTCAACAAATAAAAATAATGATGATGATGATGATAATAATAATAATAATATACACACATATTTATAAGATCTACATATGTATAGTATATATAAATTATTTAAATATATAACATAAATATTATATATTATTATGATAAACAATATTAAAACATTAATATATGTATATGTATATATATATATATATATATATACACACACAGTATATGTATTATTATTAATATATTAAACAAAGGTACTATATATAAAAAGTACTATATACCATATATAGTATTACTATTTAAAAATTTGTATTATTACTATTCATTATTTTAGAGTATTACTATATACAGCCTATGTATTTCTATTTACCCGACCCTTAGTCTTGAAAGAAATCTAGAAAAATAACTTTTAATTACTGTCTTTACTGTAATGACAGAAGTACTAATATATAATAAATATGTAAATGTTTAATTGCTTTACGCACACAACAAAAAACGTATTCAAAGCATGTACAAATCAAGCTTACCTTACCTTGAGTTTCTGTTCAGAGGCACGTATGCCCCCCAGAATCCTCTGTGTGGCTTTATTTTCAGTGAACAGAAAAAGAGCAGAAACATCCTCTTAGTTTTCCAGTCTTCCTCTGAGAAATTTATTTGAAACACTGCTCCTGTACATTAGAAAACCAGACATCATTTTAATTCCAGGATTAAACTTTCAGTTCCCCTTCTCTCAATGCACAGGAGCAGGCGAGCGCCACCACGCAAACACCAGACGCACTGTACCACCAGAACCGAAGCAGAGTGAGTGTAAACAGTGGGAGGAAGGATTTGAACGTAACACCTCTCATTCCATCAGGCTTCCAAAGGGAAGCAGCCTCCAGCACCACCTGCTCAGCAGGGAAAGGAGAGAGCGTTTCAATTTAAGAGTCCTTAAATTCCACACGCACAGAGGTCACACAAAGCAAAGTTCAAAAGGTCAGGAGGATAAAAACAGGTTTAGTTCACAAGATAGAGAGCACCGTATTCCATGTCCATGTTCCAGAGTTGATGTGAACAGAGTTGAAGTCTCGTATCAGCGCAGAAGAGATGGCTGGGACCCCTGATGACGTGTGTCACCCTCCTCTGGTACAGAAGGACACTTGAGGCCTGTGAGCTAAACAAAAACAACATCTACACTTAGAACCTGGTGACATCTGAAGGCTCACCAAGGCTGCATTTATTTGATCAAAAATACAGTAAAAATAGTAATATTGTGAAATATTATTACAGTTTTAAATAACTGTTTTCTATTTTTATATATTTTAAAATGACATTTATTCCTGTGATGCAAAGCTGAATTTTCAGCATCATTAGTCCAGTCTTCAGTGTCACATGATCCTTCAGAAATTGTTCTTTACATTTTTTCTTTTCTTTTTTTCCCCCCAGGATTATTTTTGTGTGTATATATATATATATATATATACACACTTATACATATGATTTTTAAAGAATAGAAAGTTCAAAAGAACAGCATTTGTTTTAAATAGAAATCTTTTGTAACTTTGTAAATGTTTTTAAAAGCACTTTTGATAATTGTATGCATCCTTCCTGAATAAATGCATTCATTTCTTTAAAATTGTTCAATCTTGCTGACCGAAAAACCTTTGAACGGTAGTGTATATTCAGTCTTTAAATCTTTTTATACTGTCCTCAAACTATATAACCACTAAAAGTAATAACACTCAAAGTCTGTCTTCACAAACTTTCTTTTTCTAGTTTATGATTTCACTGTAACAATAGCTGTTGTAACTATAGTATTTTGGTGCAGTTTTGTAATTTTGTTATATTTACAATTTCAGCCACAATGTTATTTTAAGTGGAAGAAGAGTGATACAGAGCGATATAGAATATAATTTCTATGAATCTAGAATGTATGCAGTTGTCATGTACTACCGGAGTCCACTGAGCTGCATGGCACCGTTTCCTGCTTTCTGGAAGAGCTACGACCAAAGAATGAAGGCTAAAGAAAAAAATAAAAATAAAAATAAAAACTGAACATGGGAACAAAAACAAAAGACAAAAAAAAAAAACACAACGGAACAAAGAGGAGAGAATCAAATAAACATCACATTTAGACTTGAGATAAAGACATTATTGGAGAAGATGATTGTGCTGACCTTGACATAAAATGATAGATGAGTGCTCTATATGATTACCTTTTCTTCTAGTTCCTTTATCTGTCGCTTCTGAGCCTCTATCCATTCTTCCAGCTCTTTTATCCTCTGTTGAGACAGGAAAAAAAGATCAATCATTAGCTACAGTAACAAATGGCCAAAATGAAATACTGATACCTTATAGTCAACTGCAGAAAATGAGGTGTTTGTCTGTGTAAATGATCATGCCATGATGCTCAGAAGATCAGTCATACATCATAATAAATACTCACTAAATAAGCTGAATAAATAAGCTTTCCATTGATGTATGGTCTGTTAGGATAGGATAATATTTGGCCGAGAAACAACTATTTGAAAATCTGGAATCTGAGAAAATCACATTTAAAGATGTCCAAATTAAGTTCTTAGCAATGCATATTATCAATCAAAAATTAAGTTTTGATATATTTACGGTAGGAAATTTACAAAATATCTTCTTGGAACATGATCTTTATTTAATATCCTAATGATTTTTGACAAAAAAGAAAAATCGATTATTTTGACCCATACAATGTTTTTGGCTAATGCTACAAATATACCCCAGCGACTTAACACTGCTTTTGTGGTCAAGGGTCACATATGTGATTACGGTAAATGACCAGAATAAATACATGCAAATATACACATTACAATATCATAAACTAATTTCCTTTCACACACACAGACACATAATTAATTAAACAGCTTTACTGTTCTGTATATATATACTGTATATATATATATATATATATTTTTTTTTTTTTTTTAAATGTGTATATTTTGTGTATCTCTCTCTCTCTATATATATATATATACATATATCAGTACATGTCTATGGAAATAAGCATGATCTCTTTCACTTATATTTTCTAGAAGTACATACCGCTTGAGCATGTTGTAGCAGTTCCATCCTCTCTCTGAGTATCTGTGCATCTCTCTCTCGTAATTCACTCAAGACCTGCCTCTTCCACTGATCCACAGCCTCTCTCAGCGAATCACGGTCCTGCTCGCTCAGCAGCTCGGACAGCTTCCCACCCGTCTCCTCCTGCTGCAAAGCGTCAAACAGCATCGCCTCCAACTCAAGGATGCGCTGAGAGAAACACAGAGGGGAGTGGGCCAGAGATCACATGCATTCACCAGCAGGGGGAACAGGAGGACAGAACTGCATCAGAATAGAGTAAAACTCCTCCGCAGTGCTTGAGAATAAAGCATATGGATTATTGGCCATGTACAGTCCTTACCTTATGTGCATGGTCCAAAGACTGCTTTCTGTAGTCTAATTCCTCGTCTAAATAGCCTTTTTGTTTGCTAAAGAGCTCCTTCAGAGGAAAATGACAAGAGGAAATAATCGTTTTGATGTAAAAACACCACATTAACAAAAGTTATTCTGAATAGATTAGTGAGTGAGATTATTATTATTATTTAAATTCTATAACAAATGTAAGCCTGTTGTTAGAACCATTACTATTTATTCAAAAAGAGGATATATATATATATACAGTGGGTACGGAAAGTATTCAGACCCCCTTAAATTTTTCACTAAATTTTTTTTGTTATATTGCAGCCATTTGCTAAAATCATTTAAGTTAATTTTTTTCCTCATTTTCCGTACCCACTGTATATATATATATATATATATATATATATATATATATATATAGTTAGTCATGATATTAATTATATACCAAACTGTCCAAATTACCATTACCTTATTGTAAGAAATAAAATAAAATAAAAATTGTAAAGTATTTATATATGTAATGAGAATCTAATAAGAATCATGAAAAAATCAACAGTAAAATGTTAGAAATTTTATAAACATTACACATAATATGCTTAATTTTCTTACTTATAAAATTATAATTTATTTCTAAATTATTTCTAAATTTTGGGGTAAAATAAGTAAGAACAACTTATGGAAATTAAAGTGTGTAATGCATTTAAATACATTTACCTTTTCACTTTCGATGTCCAGCATTTTCTGCTGTAACGCTGATTTGGTGACTTCGATTTGCTCTAACCACTGGACACAACAGAGACGTCAAAAGACACATAAAACCATCATTAAAACAGCATGAAATTAACATGAAATAACAGTAATTTTAAAAAGATGTATGGATCATACCTTCTCTGCTAACGTTAATACTGTTCTTGCATGAATAACCACCACTTGCTCCTCATTGGTCAGATTCTGTGCGTGTCATCCAATGAAAAGAGAGACATCAATGACAGAGATATGCATGTACCAAACACACCCAGGCATGTGTAAACACACACATTTACATATGAAATCAACATACACTTACGGCGTTATCCCCCAGAATATCGAGTTTCTTCATCAGCTCTGTGATCACAATGTCCTGTGGTGTGAGAAAGACTTTAATTGAGATATTAAACCACGAATCCTCCTCCAGACATCAGCAGATTAGATCTGTGCTGGATCACTGACAGTCTGTTAAGTGTTTGGTCTGATATCAGTTCCATCTGAAAAACTAAACTGAAAAAACTAAATTGAAAAAATGATTTCTCAGCTGATCTGTGCGATAAAATTCAACAATAACGTTAAAAGAATGAAAATCTAGTCAAATACCTACAGTAGGTGTTGTTTTCTGTGCCACTGCTTTTCATCAAAGTCTGGATTTTTAGATAATCGTTAACTTAAATATCATAATAGCGTTGTCAAGCTATGTGGGGTAAGTTGTCACAAAAGGAACCAGCTGTTAATTTGTAAGATATATACAACATATCTGTATTTAAAATGCGTTATAATGTATAATGCAATATTATATCAAAATTTTTCTTTTAGATTTAATCAGTAAAACAATTATTAAAAGATAAGGTAACAATAGCAAATACATTTTAATAAAATATAAAATACTATATAAAGTAAAACAAATATCTGTATTTAATGGAGTTATCTGTAAGATACTATAAAACGATTTCTTTTAAAATATTCAATAAGTAAAACAATTATGAAAACATAAAAAGGTAACAACATTAAATCATTATTTAATAAAATACTACGCAAAGTAAAACGGTAAAACATCTGTATTTAAAATGTGTTATATGTAGGATAATATAAAAACATTTATTTTAAAAGATAAAACAATTGTGAAAACACAATAAGTTAGCGTAATATCAAATCCTTAATAAAATATAAAATAAAAATAACAAAACAGCTGTTATAACAGCTGTATAGCAATAAAAACAGCAAAAAAAACATCTGTATTTGAAATCTGTTATATATGAAAACATAAGGTAAGATATTAAAACATTATTTTTGCTAGCAAAACTTTAAATGAATGAATGTATAAAAATACTTTTGTTATTGTACTTGCCCCAACTTGATCATTCATTATTAAAACCTTATAGTTACTTCCCCTGCGTGACAACTAGCCCCGGTCTCTCTATAGAGCAAACTGGGTCCTGGAGGGCCGGTGTCCTGCAGAGTTTAGCTCCAACCCCAATTAAACACCCTGAACCACACCTAATCAAGCTCTTACTAGGCATACTAGAAACTTGAAGGCAGGTGTGTTGAGGCAAGTTGGAGCTAAACTCTGCAGGACACCGGCCCTCCAGGACCGAGTTTGGACACCACCCCTGCTATAGAGACATGAGGCATATGGTTCAGGGTAACTCACAGTAACACCCTCTGCCTCACAGTACATCTGTAGGGGACTCATGCCCTCAGCAAAATGGATGTACTGGAAGTTTATGGCTGGAGATCTTCTCTCTCTTTCCTGAAGAAACAAAAGAGCATCATTATTATTCTCACTGACCAATTCCTCTGCTCCAGAAGTTTAAATCCGTGTCTGAAACGGTTGCAAACACATGACAGATTTTGGAGTTCATTTTTTTTTGGGATAAAATACAGTAAGTAAGAGGAACTTATGGAAATGAACGTGTGTAATGCATTTAAATACATTTACCTTTTCACTTTCGATGTCCAACATTTTCTGCTGTAATGCTGATTTGGTGACTTCAATTTGCTCTAACCACTGGACACAAGAGACGTCAAAATACAGAAACATGTCATTAAAACAGCATGAAATAATAATATATATATATATATATATATATATATTTTTTAAAGACATACCTTCTCAGCTAATGTTAATACTGTTCTGGCATGAATAACCACAACTTGCTCCTCGTTGGTCAGATTCTGTTTGTGTCATCCAATGAAAAGATGAGACATCAGTGACAGAGATATAGCAAGCATGTGTACCAAACACACCCAGGCATGTGTAAACACACACATTTACATATGAAATCAACATACACTTACGGCGTTATCCCCCAGAATATCCAGTTTCTTCATCAGCTCTGTGATCACAATGTCCTGTGGTGTGAGAAAGGCTTTAATTGAGAGATATTAAACCACAAATTCTCCTTCAGACATCAGAATCAGAATGAGTTTTTTTTTTTTTTTTTTAAAAAGCAGCAGATTAGATCTGTGCTGGATCACTGACAGTCTGGTACGTGTTTGGACTGATATCAGTTCCATCTGAAAAACTACATTGAAAACTGCTGAAAAAAAATAAATTCTCAGCTGATATGTGCAATAAAAATCAACAAGAACCTTAAACCTAGTCAAATATCTACAGTAAGAGTTGTTTTCTGTGGCACTGTTTTTTTTTTAGATAATTATTAACTTAAAATATATTATAATATCTTTAAATATCATAATAGCGTTATCATCACGCTATGTGGGGTAAGTTGTCACTATAATAATCTGCTGTTTATTTGAAAAGGCACACCATATCTGTATTTAAATAATGTAATTTAAGTAATGTGCTACAATGTATAATGCACTATAATATAAAAAGATTTATTTTAAAAGATTTAATAAGTAATACAATTCTGAAAACATAATAAATTAGTATAATATTAAATCATTATTTAATGAAATATAAAATAATATATCAATTAAAAAGGAAAAAAACATCTGTATTTCATTGTTATATGTAAGATAATATAAAAAGCTTTCTTTTAAAATATTCAATAAGTAGAACAATTATAAAAACATAAGGTAACAATATTAAATCATTATTTAATAAAACATAAAATACTATGTAAAGCAAAACATGTCTGTATTTAAAATGAGTTATATGGAGCATAATATAATACAATTTCTTTTGAAAGATTTAATAGGTAAAACAATTATGAAAACAATAAGGTAATGAAATATTAAATAATTATTTAATAAACAAAATACTATATATAATAAAAAGGCACAACATATATATATTTAAAATGTGTTGTATGTACAGTAGTATGATATAGGGAAATAATTATAAAAACAACAATGCAACATTAAT